CTATGCTCAGCGTAGTCGATTACCTATAGTCCATGGCATTTTGAGATTCCCAGAGATGTCTGCTCGGAGATAGACACGTGCTCGGGGAAAGCGAGCCCTGCCCGAACGACGATAACTAGAGAGCCGGGACTTGCATAATTTTGTAGAGTAACGTCCGAACTATCTACGCATGCAAAAAAATTACTAACATTGTATGTTAGTTTTCTGAGAATGGAGCTGGTTTTTCAAAGATCCTCTGAAAACCCGATCTCTGGAATTTTTTCAAAAGTTGCTTCCGCTTGTGAAAAGTTCTGCTCAAGTCTTGGCTATTAAACAGCGAAAATCGCAGGTTTCCATCTTCTTCCTATCAAACGTTATTCAAGTTACAGTGGAGTCTCTTTTATTTTGAAACGGATAGTAGTTTATCCGCATGCGTAAAATTAATACGCGTACCAGCTGTTGATCTCTCTTTTGTATAGGAATTAATTATAAAAAACATTGTATCGACTATTAAATTCGTTTGGATTACGTTTCCTGAAAGTGATCCACTGATGCACTTAGAATCCTTGTAATTGCTAGTTATACAGCCTATTATAATTTATAAAGGAGATTGGCAATATTTTCCATTCTTTCTCTTTCTAGGCATCGTTGCACGCGAAAACCCGTATATTACAAAAAAAATGCATTGTGCATCAGTGTTGCCGGTTTAGAAAATGTGAAAGACTTGATTTTGAGCTAAAACGATATTTCGAAAAGAAATATGATCACCTTTCAAGATAATTAACAAGTACTACATCTCTATATGTTCACTTTTTTAGAATTCTCGTGCATGCGGATGAATTCATTTTCTAAAGTTCTGCTCAAGTCTTGGCTATTAAACAGCGAAAATCGCAGGTTTCCATCTTCTTCCTATCAAACATTATTCAAGTTACAGTGGAGTCTCTTTTATTTTGAAACGGATAGTAGTGCCATTCCGGGTCTGGCGATCTGATGAACAGAATCTTCTAACAAATTATCTAAAGCAAAAGATCCATCAATAGATTGCGGAGCATCACTACCGTTGGCCGAATGTTCAATAATAAATGCTGTTTCCAGTAGTAAATCGCACGCAGTTCTCAACGCCTGTCCATTCGAATCTGCTGTCTTCTTGCTATATTAAATTTACTCTTCAAATTCCCAGCAATTTCGAGAACTTCTGATCCTGCGACTCTATCAGTGTATGCCGTTCTACGTGAAACATCTCAACTTGTTTACAGTAATCGATGGCAGAAAGCTGGTTTGTATTGGTCTATTACACATAAACGACTGAATGCTACTACATTAACGTGTAAAACCTGAGTTTAGCACTAAAGATTAATCGCATCACCCAGAAAAATGGTCCAGTCTATCAAAACAATTTTCCTAAACAAAAAGCAGTCAGGTTGAAAATTTAGCAGGCGTAACGTTTCCAGATTGTATGTTGTGGACGATCAATATCAGACATAATGGCTGCACGACGATTTACACCAGAACACACAATAAACGGTTTACCACAATAAGCTAAAACAAAAAAATTACTCTCAGAGGAGACATGACATTTCGACATATAATGATACATTTCCGAATGCTGTTTACCTTCATTGCATGTCAAACAATCATCTAATGAACCCTCCGGTTTTGTATTATTAACGCGCAAAAGGTTAATAATAATAAATGTATGATCAATGGCACGTTTACTCATACAGTGCGCAACATCACATCCCATATTTTCTACCCAACATTCAGTACACTTAACACTTAAAGCAGCAGCTTTATTCATACGTCTGATTGCTGAATTTTTACCAAATAAAACATATTTTACAGCACATTTTGTTGCAATATTTGTCATATTATTTCGTGTTGTATTAAAAATATTAATATCTTGATGTGACGAACATGCACCACAATAACCACTATGAAGTGGATAAATTCCATTTGTACATGCTGCTTCTTGCGTAGGATAATTCATACCATCAGCACCACAACAAGCTCGAAAACAACAATAAGTTAGATTAAAGTGTCACGTTTGAGAGTAAGAGAATGAGTGAAGACGACAGGTCAAAAGAATAAGTGTACCAAGAAATATGTGCCTTACCAGCTGTAGGCATGACTGGTGGATCATAATCGTTATCACGGTTTACAACTCCAGTTAAGTGGCGACTGCTATAACATTCACATCGAACAATGTTTAGTCGTATGCCTCTATCATAAAAGCTCTATCAATGTCAGATTGTACAATGTTATTTCTCGAAACAATCATAGAATACAGTGCAAATAAAGATCTGGAAGAAACAAGACAAGAAAATGAACAATTACTTGAAATTTTTGCGTGTATGCATATTGATTTTGTTATTCAGAAATTTTTTGCTATTAGTATTACTTTTAATATAAGTAAATTAGATAAAACAATCCAGTAGGAATCGTCATGTTTCTTTCCCTTAGGTTCAGTCACAATTCCTTTCTACTTACTCACTCTCGCTTTGGATGCTACCTTTGATGTTTTTTCGTCTTAAAAAACCAAGTAGGAACGAGTCTAGAGGACACCTGTCATTGTAGTGTGCAGTTTGATATATGTTCAAAAAGAACGAGAATAAGAAAATTGTAAAGACAATAGAAAAGAGTTCCAATTGTATATACAACATTATATGGCAACTGATATAAAAATCTTATCTCTTAGTAAGTACCAGAGACCGAAACGGGTCGGGTTCGGGTCAATGTAAAAAATATTGATTCAGGTCGTTTCGGATCGGATCAAAAGGAAAACAATTTCGGGTCTTGCTACTAGAAAACAAATCGAGGGATTTTCTTCAATTACGGTTCACTCATCTGTTTTCCAACATGTGTCGTTTTTGTCGCAAAAGAAAGGTCTTTTTTTATCGTACAAGAAGCACAGTGTTTGTTCCGTCCTGCTTTGACGCAATCTTTTTAATAGCTCAATCGGAATATCGAATTATATCCTGATCAGAATATAATTTTAAACTATATCCCATTCGGGATATCAAAAAAATAATACTTTTCAAAACAATTTTTACATCCAGTCTCAAATAATGTCAGTCGATAGCCAAAATATTTCTCCTCAAAACTACGTAAGGCCTAGGTCTCCATCTATTTTGATTCCGGAGATACAGACGTTTTCCGAGGACACGCCTATCTTATTGCAGACACGTCTGGGAATCTCAGAAACATGTGGATCATAGCTAATCGACCACGCTGATCATCGTGGTGATGTTCGTTTCATTCCCCACTTAACTTGCAACTTCAGAAAATCCGTGATTGACGTCATTTTTCATCGTGATTGACGTGATTTGGATTCAGCGTAAGACAGATCTGTCTTATCATATCTGTATGATATAAGTAAAGAAATTATAGAAATTTCCTATTAATTATGAAAATTTTTAAGAAAATTTCGGAGAAAATGCGCATGTGTGGAATGTGTTCAAAATTTCGCGGACTTTGCGCTTTCGTTGAAGTGTAAGTTGAGTAATTTCTGAGAAACTGTTGAGTTAGAGTTAATTGATATCGGAAATTTCCTGCTAATTTCGCCCAGGTGTGTTTGCGTTTTCCGCAGTTACTGATAAATTTCGTTCTATAGGATGAGTAATTGCCGAAATTTCATAGCAGATTCCTTCGCTGAAGCGGAGATAATTTGCGAAATTTCTGGGAATTTTTGTTAACGTGTATCTGAAAATTCGAAATTTTCGCGGAAATTTCTTTCTTATATGATGATAATTACTGGAATTTCTACTAAATTTCCGTTTATGCGCATGAATGTTTTGAAATGGATTGCAGAAATTTTGGTATTTTCAGAAATTTCCTTTTTTCGAAATCTGAACATACCTCTTGCACTCAGCAAGTCTCGCAGTGTCTCCATGAGTTCATTATTAGACCCGTTTCCATCACCATCGAGTGTCTCCAAATTATAATTACATTATAATTAATACGATCGAAGTAATATTATAGGCGCCACTGTTTCTCTACCTTTTTTTTATTGTCATGCCGATAAAACACGTTTTTGTTTACCGAAAATAGAAAACCAAAGATTGTTTCATCGATTCTTTCGCTAGGAAAAATGATCGTACAATATTTCTGTGCGGAGTAATTGAAAGCATCACTCATGGATACATGAAAATAGGTGAAAGATACGCACCGGTGAGTCAGATTTCGACAGGTCGGTGGAGAAAGTAGCACTCTGCCAAGCTCACGAAAAATATATTATAGATAAAAAAGTTATACAAGTTGGCAGTAAAACCATCACGAATTTGTATCCGATAACGCGCACTTTAGTTATCTCTATTAAAATTCACTAGACGTGACAGAGCACTTGTTACAAATGGAAACAAACAAAAAATACGGTAAAAGATTGACAAACAATTATGGAAGATAACATGACACAGACGATTATGAAGGTAGAATGCCCCCATTGACTATGAAAGACCGCAACTGAATTCACGAACTGGAAAAACATATGGTCATGTTGCCCGTACCCTTACAGTCTATATCTGTCGAGCCGAGCCAGGAGCCGGTGATGCCGACAACAAATTTTCCTGTTCCACTGCCCCATTGCTCAACAGTGTTTACCTTTGGCCAATGGACGGTCGAACCTTGAGCTTGATCGTACAATCCGAAGACAGTAATACCAGTGGGCCGTCCAATCCATGGAATAGCTCGACCATCCAAGGGAAACACATCCAATGACCACGTACAACCCAAGTCCGGTCCAAAGACTATGAGATCAAACGAGATGG